GGCCGGGCTCAGGATTTGTCAAAAAAGCCTAGCCCAGCCAGATTAATTTATATAATATAAAATATATAATGTTTATTATAATATATATATATATATATATATATATATATACACATGTTTTTATTTTTTTTCTAATTTCTAAACTCCCAAGTCCCAAAACCCTACACGAGCCCGATGTTCCCCTTTCCTCTCTCATTATGTTCATTTTCTTGAGAAATTCATCTTTCAGAGGTTAGAGCTCAACCTAGCAACAGCCTGATCCAAGCCCAACCTGGGCCGGGATCGAATTCAAGCCTAAAAAAAACTATTAATGAAGAGTAAAAGCCTGATCCAAGCCCAACCTGGGCCATGAACAAATCTAATCGTTAATTGGCTTTGTTTCTCCGGAAAAGAGGAACGGGTACGGTTAATCCATCCACCACCACCGGTTGGTCCACAATAGCCGGGTCATAGTGATTCCAACCCGACCCGACCCATTATAGACATGCAACTGTTGCTATGCCCTCTAATACACTCAACCAACTGCAAAAGCTGTGTGGTCCTCTGACAAAGTTTCTGCCACCAAACGGTGAATTATGTTGCAAATAGGAGTAGGTGGGCCCCCATTTTCTGACCAGTTGTAGGTCAGGGTGTAAATTGAGCTTACTTGGGTCAACAAAACCAACTATTCATACATGGGTTCCTTTCCAACCTCCCACTGTTTGCACTAATTAGATTATTCTAAATTAATCAACTTAAATAATAATAATAATAATAATAATAATAGGGAAATACATAAAATCTATAGTTAATCATGATTTAATCCCAAATTATTTCTTTGACTCAGCCAGCTTTCTTTGCTGCAAATTAGGGTTTTTTTTTTTTTGCTTGAAAATCTTATTGCTATTCAAACCCTAATCTAAGTCTAGAGCTAAAAAGTCTCCACATCAAGAAAAAATATTAATTAGTTTAATTGATCGAAGTTAATCAAAGAGTAAAGACTCCGTTAAGTGGAGCACCCTCAGCTCGTTGGATACCATCACGTGGGTTGACCCGAAAAGGCGGGTCTTTGTTTGCGTCGGTTGAAGATCGAGCAACGGTCAAAGATCTCGATCGAGCCGTCTAAACTTTTCTGATTTATTTATTTTATTATATTTATTTATTTTTGTTTTGGAGATAGGAAGCTGGAAGGAAGAAACAAAAGGAGCGAGAACATTATCTGGCTGTGGGGGCCCACGGGCTTTATCGCAGCGATTCGATCCAATTCCAAGGGTTCAAATATTCAAGCCCAACCACTGGAAAGGAAAAGCGATGTCGACGTCGACGGCAACAGAATAAACTCATAAAGCGTGTCGCTTGCGTGACGGAAGGTTCAAAGCAAGGGTAAAATAGGAAAGGTAAAAAGTAAAAGCCTGAAAGAAAAGTGCCGAATCCCCCAGCCCAAGTGGGCATGTTCGATGTTTTCGATTATCCAAGGAAAATGACCTTTTTGGGCCGCCCCCTTTTCTCTGGCCCATTTTTTCGGCCCCCTTAATTACTAAAATACCACCCTACATTGAAACATTTCCTTGTATTATCGAGATAATTCCTTGGACTTAAAAGTAAAATTCTGGTGTGGGGAGATCCCAAAGCAGAAAGTTCAGAGTCGATTCAGAATCAGAAGTGACTTCCCAGCTACCCAAAACCAAAAGGACCTGGTTTAATCACAAGCAAGGGTGGGATTAGGTCATTAGTCTACAAATTGAACGGCTATGATTTAAGGGTAAATCCGTCAATTTCATTAATTAAAATTCTGCAGTTCTATCATGATCAGACAGTGATGGCTGTGTGTCCCATGTCAAGGTCTCATATGGGTCCCCCAAATATTGAACTTGTGGGCAAGAGAACCTCGTGGTTATTGACCATTGATGTCATTTCACATCTGGACAGTATCTGAAACTCAACAACTCAGATCTCTTGGGTTTCTGTTTTTGGTAAATCATCAAATTTGATGCCCACAACTTCTAACCCTCAATAATATCCTCCCCAGAAGCAACATGACATGGGGACAGTTGCTTATGTTGTGGACTTGTGGTGCTTTCAACCCTGACCCTGACTGGTTCATCCCCAACAGAAGAACCCTTGAGAGTGGGAACTGAAAATATAATTAATTAACCAATTATCAATCAATTAATTAAACAACTTTTGGGTTTTTTTTAATTTTTTTATTCATAGATGATAGATGAAATTGAGGCACAAGATTAGGAGTTGCACAGTGGAGAAGCACCAAAAGCAAGTAATAGTTATCACTTATGGTAGGATACTTTTGTTTCAGTCTTCAACTGGTTTTGAGAGAGTTTTGGACCAATTAACACATGTGTTAGTGGGATTAAACAAGAAATAGGAAGATAAGTTTAAGATATGTTAACTGAATATTGTAATAAAGTAAATTAAAAAAATAATGTGAGGAGAGGATTAAGAATATTTTATATAATAACAACAATAAATAATAATACGAGTTGATTTTCGCTTCTGACGAAAGCGATGAACTGGCTAAAAATTACAGATATTTATAATTAAAAAAAAAAAAACAAAATGTAACAATGCTCATGATGCTTGATAGGATTTGATACTGATGAGTTGCTGAAGAGGGGGGCAATTTACTAAAAACACTTCATTAGTACTTGTATTATAATGGGTTGCCGCGTTAGGACCCCATCAAATTTGACTCAAGTGGAAAGAATTCACATGTTAAAGTCTGACCTAATGGTTAGAAGAATACTATCTCTCTTCTCCCACTTGACTTCTCTTCCTTCCTTGATGTTTTTATTAATTTTTTCCAACCATCAAAAAATAACGATCACCGTAGTCATCCGGTTGGGTCGATTCTTACCAGAGTACCACCCGGGGTTTTGTTTTCCATTAAAACGACAAAGCTTGAAGATGACAAGAACCTCCCTAAACCATGTACTAGGGTTGAAATGAAGGAGCCAATAAGAGGTACTAATTTGCTCTAATATTCTTAGAATATTTACTTTTGAATATAATTAATCAACTTAATGACTGTAATTGTACTAGGTCACTAGTGCTAGAACAGTGTCAAGAAAACAACAGCTCAATAAAGCTTAATAAAAGAGGAAATGGGATCAATTTCTTATTCTATCAAGAACTAGAAAAGCTTTTGATTGGTAGTACTACTCTTACCACATAGACTACTTGTAAAAAATAAAACAAAATCCACAGCATCACGAGGCAGATATGCTCTCTCCTTGTAATTTGGTTTATCCAACATTACAATATATAAATAAGCAAGGGTAGCTAACAACAAGTATTTACCTATTCGGATCTACCCGGATCCGAATAGAAAGAGGGGGGGGGGGGGAATGAGAGAGATTATAATGTATATATTAAGCAAATTCTATCACTTTCTCTGTTTAATTAAGATCAAGAAAGAGAGGTTATGATCATCTGGGTCGTTGGGTTTACGGGCTGTAGCCCACCCCAGATCAAAGAATTATGGGCTTTATATTGGGTAGGGTCCATTAAGGATGGTGGGCATCGTATTCATCTCCTTTCCCACGTTTGTGGAGTGCCAATAACGGAAGGACAGCGTTTCCGCAAGATAGCTCGGCCCATACAACAAGCAACCCTCTCAAAGTCTCAATACGTCTACTCACATAAATGATAAAATGAAATGGGGTTGCGTTTGGTTTGAATAAGCAAGTTAATTAATTAAGCACTAATTAATAATTGGGCATAAGCCAAGTGAGGCCCGGTGAGGGGGGAGGAAACCGGAAAATAGATAAGACTGATGGAATGGAATCTGGAGGTGGGTCCCACGAAACGCAGGAAATACCAAACCAGCAGCAGCTCCCATGAAGCCCATAAACCCACCGTCTTGAGCACCACGATTCCATCTCAGTCTGCTTCTAACAAGTAGCTTGTGGTTGTGGGACCCTTTAGATGGACCATAGGCTCGTCCGTACGGAATCACAATACATTAAAAAAAAATGTAAAACCCCAGTGACCAATGAATCAACTGTTGTTGGTGTTCTGTTCTCATCCTTTTCTTTGTTTCTTTTCTCTCTTTTCTAACGGATGACTATAGCAACATGATGCATGCATCTAGACTGTTTAATGGGCCCCACCCATCACTTCCCATTATCAACTTGGCAGCTGAGAATCGGCACCGTCCGATGAGACCGTAAGCACAGTGATTATTATGTGGATGGATTAGGTGGAAAGAGATTAGCTCAAAAGCGATGAACAGCAATCAGCAATATTAGAAGCTTCATTTATATGTGGAATATAAAGAAAAAGAAAAATTGGAACCTTCCATTAGTTGTATTTGTATACATAATACATCCCTTTTGGAGCATGGACAAGCAAAAGTAGCCGCATGCCAAACAAGAAACCCAGCAGAGGAAGAAACTTGTCATCTGTCAATGTTGGTTGGAGATACTGGAATTGTGACCTGATGAAGGGATATAAAAGGTGAACATGGCCAATAAGACAAGCCCTTAGTGTATTTCAGCCAATCATGGCTTGACACGTAGTCTGGAGGGAATTTATTGCCGGATGAGCTTTGTCTTCAAGCCTATGCCTATCCATCTTTCTTTGTAAATCAACAGGCCCAAAAATCCCATCATATATCCTTCCTTATTCCTTAGCTGAGAAGAATTAAGCTAAGTAAGCTTCTCACTTCTCTCTCTCACCCACCAACTGAAGTTTACCTATCAAAAAAAAACTAAATGATAATTGGTGCATTAAAAACGTTAAAAAATATAAGAGAGAAGATCTTTTTGATGCATAATAAAAGAAAATAAAATATATATTAAATGAATTTTAAAGGCCTAATTAGAGATAAAAACAGGAGAGAGAGGAGAGAGGAGAGAGGAGGTTATCCTCATGGTCAGCACTGGCAGCAAAGCTCAGGGGGGATGAACTTACAAAAACAAGGTCCACAGTCATGTGAATCCCATCAACTTGCATGAATGGGTCCCACACCTCTCATATACAACCCATAAACACATACATACTTATAAGCTTTCATCTTCCCCTTCCCTTCTCCTCCTTCCTCAACCCCACCTCCCCCTCCTCTCTAACCATCTTCCCACCATTTCATGAGTTGACCCACACCCAACACTCTTATATCAAAACTTAAAATATTCCAAAAAAAATTTTCACCTTGCCCAGTCTTATATATTCATCCATCATTCAATCAACCCAACTCATATTTAGCTAGCTCTTGAGTCGTCTTTATCTCTCTCTCTCTCTCTCTATCTCTCAAAGACAACCCTACCCATCTCTCTCAGTCTCTCCTATATATGTGCATATCCTCAACATCTCTTTGTGTATCACAGTCACAGAACACCACTCGTGTAATCTCCTTCCTTTTGCTTTGCTTAGTGCAAAAGAAAAAAGAAAGAAATTGAAGCAACAGAAAGAAAAGAAAAAAAAGGAAAAAGAAATGGACGGAAGTTGCATCGATGAAAGCAGCAGCAATTCCATATCAGTCTCGCCGGCGCCGGTGTCTTCTTTACCGGAGAAAAAAGAAACCGAGAGGCTATGCCGGATGGGGAGTGGCGCTAGTGTAGTCATAGACTCAGACAGCGGGGTCGAAGCCGAATCTCGTAAGCTCCCATCGTCCCAGTACAAGGGAGTCGTCCCCCAGCCAAACGGACGTTGGGGGGCTCAGATATATGAGAAGCACCAACGTGTGTGGCTGGGCACGTTCAATGAAGAGGAGGAGGCAGCCAGGGCCTACGACATCGCAGCGCAGAGGTTCCGCGGCCGGGACGCCGTCACCAACTTCAAGCCATTATCGGAGACGGACGAGGATGACATCGAGACAATCTTCTTGAATTCGCATTCCAAGGCTGAGATTGTCGACATGCTCCGAAAACACACATACAATGACGAGCTCGAGCAAAGTAAGCGTAATTATGGGCGCAATGGCGATGTGAGTAAAAGAAATAGAGGTGGTGGGTGCTTCGGTGATTCTGGTGGCTCAGACCGAGCGGCCAAGGCTCGTGAGCTGCTCTTCGATAAGGCCGTCACGCCCAGCGATGTCGGCAAGCTAAACCGGTTGGTTATACCAAAGCAACACGCAGAGAAGCACTTCCCGCTCCAGATTGGAAGCACTTCCAAGGGTGTGTTATTGAATTTCGAGGATAATGGAGGGAAGGTGTGGCGATTCAGATACTCGTATTGGAATAGCAGTCAGAGCTACGTGCTCACAAAAGGGTGGAGCCGATTCGTGAAGGAGAAGAACTTGAAGGCCGGCGATGTAGTCAGTTTTCAGCGATCGACGGGGCCGGACAAGCAGCTTTTCATCGACTGGAAGCCCAGAGCAGCGTCGACTTACATGGCGTTGCCACAGCTGGTTCACCCGCTAAACCCAGCAGCTCAACCGGTCGAGGTGGTTAGATTATTTGGCGTCAATATTTTCAAAATACCAGTAAGCAGCGTGGTTAACAGTTGGAATGGAAAAAGATTGAGAGATGTTGATGAGTTTTCTTCATTAGAGCCCTGCAGCAAGAAACAGCGCGTATTAGGAGCTTTGTAGCAGTTTTCATTCCCTGATTTTGTTTTTCCTTTTTTGTTTTTCTTTTTTTTTTTCCCTGTAAATGCTGAAAGGGAAAGAAAGGAAAGTTGAGGGGAGGTGGGTGTGCCAACTTGCAAAGGTGGTCTGATGTGTACATTATTACAAGACAAAAGCAGAAGATGTTGAAACCAGGTGGGACGAAAAATAATCAAATTCTCATTTAGGATCTTTTTTTTTACAGTTGTTCATTAATTAATTTGTTCTTTGTTAATTAATTAATCTTGTTTAGTTTCTACAGTTGTTATGAAGAAATTTATATGTAACCAGCTGTATGTTCTTCCACCCAGCAGAAATGGCACGACAGCTTTAAGCTATTTCCATCCCCTGAATATATGGCCATCTGGGTTCCTTCTAATAATTAAATGAAGATTTAATTAATTTCATTTTTTCTTTCTGTTGCTCCAGGAAATTAATTAATTAAATGTCATCTTCAAATATAGCCCTAGCTACTGAGAGAGAAAAAGAGAGATAGAGAGAGGCATGTGTATAAATTAAATAGCTTCAACTTGGATACGGAAAGGTGAAGAGAAAGGGAGCTTTATACAACAACATTGGGTTTTGGAACCAGTATTCAGTATTTATATATGAGTACCATGTACCTCTGCCTGTCTTGGTCATCCTCAGTGTTGATTATCTCAATGTAAGATATATCTCTAATAAAAGATAGTAAGGCCCGCTTAGAGAGAGAAGCTGACACTAAAGAAAAATGCAATTAATTAGGTTTTCTAGGTTGAGATGGATAAATTAGGGCGAGTTTTTAACCCAGGACACATTTTCTTGGTGGATCCTGAGGAATGGTGCTCGAACCCTTTTAATTTCGTGGCGAAACATGAAAGCAATATTATTGACAAATTTACCATCTTCAAATCTTCTCTCCTCAATGTGTTTTTAGGGTTATAAACATTTGCCTTAGAGATGCTTTAATTTAATTATCTATTTTCTTTGGTTTTAATTTTAATATGTATGTTATTGGGGTATATATATGTCACACAAAAGTATAAACAAGTATTGACAAAGCTCAGTCTATGTAAAACCTATTAAATAATATAGTAAAACTTCAATTAATCTCACAAGCAATAATTCAAATACCAAGTGTCAACCATTGGAATTATTTCTTCTACAAAAAAAAACTATTGGACTAAATCGAGAATGATTCTTAAACAAACAAATCGATGTAAAAAAAAAAAAAAATCAAATAATTATGTTAAGTAAATATGTAATGTAGATTGAACATTGCTTATGAAATTATATATTATTTAATCAAACTTATCGAACCATTAGGTTTTATTTTTGAGAAAGATCCTTATTGATACTTTTGTAGATTTGCGTGTATATTTTGACTTTATGAGTAACAAAAAAAAAAAAAATCTATAACCTTAAAAGAAAGGGTCAGAATTGTTATATTGATGTAGATGATGTAATAGGTACTATATTAAGACAATTTATTTGTCATAGTCCCATTAAGAACTTTAGGTTCATTGTATCTTCGTCATATCAAGTAATTGTTCTAGTCCAATCACTTTCTAGCAAAAAGGAATCATTGTAAGACATTTGGAACATGTTCATCACTAATATTTATGCAATGTCTTTTTAAAGTTAAAGTATTTTATCATAAATTTATTTTTTATTTTTTCTAATCACAATATACCTTTAGTACTTTTGTCTTTTTCCATAAATATTTACTTGAGATTTCATTATATCTGGGAATTATTTTAAGCTTAAGAAAATAATTGCAACTATATATTGTAATTCATTTAGTTGTACTCTAATGTAGTTGCATCTTAGGCCAACATATCAGTTGCAACTATATATCGTAATGCTTACTTATTTCTCTTAGCATAAAAAATGTAGTTATTTTATAATGAATATTCCTTTCCAAAAATTGTAGTAAATTTTAAATACCTTTTACTAAGAGGATCTTGTGATAAAAACTATAGGCTACCTTGTTAGTGATCTATAGAAGAAATGATGGTTATTTATGCATCATAACTATGCCTAGCTACATGATTTTTTTTTCATACAATATGTGATTACTAAAATTAATATAATTTCATTAAATAGTCATAAAAATATTCTATTTTCATTAATACTCATAAACTAACTATTAGATTCAATTCACTCATAACAATATCTTAGACACTATATTCTTTATTATATATTTTCCTTTTTATATTAGAGATATATTAATATTTAATAGAGTTGAATCTAAAACAAATAAGAAATGCTTCTATTCCTAACTATATTAGATTTACACTGTTAAAATTTGTCAAAAGATAGTTTGTGCATGTTTTCTTTTTATATGTTTTTCAAGCAACACCTTTAATATTGCAAAAGTAGACAAACGAGTCATAGAAGTAAATACAATGTCCTTTATCAAATTTGAATAAATAACACAGAGAAATTATTAACAAATAACTAAGCATACGATACTCACAACGTCTATAAACTTGGCATATAAAGGAAAGTTTAAAATTATTAACAAATGCCTTTCACAGTTCATTAAATTTTCAAACACATGTATACATTTATATGATCTAAATGGGGTTAGTTTAATCACGACTTCTACCACTTGTCGTCCTAAGATCCAGTAACATAGATCATGAACTAGACCTTCAAATGAAAACTTAGAAGTATGCAGATTGTGTTATGTGGGGCCATTTTACAAAGTTTATCCAAGTAGTTTTGCAAACCACAAGGTATACTTATGTATTTTGGTCAAACCATATGGTATATTTAAGTAATTAATCCTTCGATAAAACATCCGAAAGCACTTATAAATTTTGAAAGAAAAACATCTTATTTTTCATTGGTAATCTACCGTCTATAGTCATTTAAATTTAAGTTAAAGAGGTCATTTGAACAACCTTACGCTTTGACAATTTTGTCCTCAACCATACAGGTCCACATAGTATCCCCATATCATATATACGGTAAAAAAAATATTTAATCATATTTACATTATAATATAATGACATAATATAAATATGTTATGTGCTCATAATAATTTAACAATACAGAAAGGAATGGCAAAACAGAATTCATGTAGCTGACCCCATATAGTTAGGATAAGGCTTGGATGATAATGGTGATGAATATAAATATATTATATTTTATATAATATTTAATATAATATATATTTTATATTTAGAGAGGTAAAATTTTGAAGCATGCATTTTTTCAAAGGTTTTATCAAGGAATCTCAATTAATATCAACTTTAGAGAGAATCTTGTTTATTTATCCTAGTTGATTTTCTATTTCTTTATCTATTAAATTTATTTGTTAACACCTACAAAAATCTACCAAATCATCACTCTAATTACTATCATTAGTAATATATTTTGAAAGGTTACAGAATTAATGAAATATAATACAATTAGGGAGAATGAAATTCCCTATACCTATAAATAATCACATCTATTTTTCCATTGAGCATTCACTTTCTCTTTCTCTCTCTTGCAACTTGCTTCCTTATTATATATATATATATATATATATATATATATATTTCTAAAGTCGCCATTATTCTTGATATTTATATATATATATATATATATATATATATATATATATATTTCTAAAGTCACCATTATTCTTGATATTTGTGGCCATACTTCCATATAAAGAGAACATATGGGCCATGTATTCTAATGATATACTTTGGAGAACCACTTGCAAAATTTGAATATGTTCTTCTTGTGGAGAAATTCATGATCATGAAGGATAATGCATTAAATATGAGTCCTACCTTTCAAATTTCCTTATCACTATCACCATCATAGCTATTCTTCATTTACCCATTTCCATAATTTTTAACAAAAAAAAATAATATCATTGTTTTCATGTTCATTTCTGTATGTATTCCCTTTTCTCATGGATTTTAATTAGAACGACTCAAGTAATTAGATTATCATAGTGTTAGTAATTCATCAAGTGCAATCATATACTAGAGCTGCAAATTGATTTGGGACCATAAAATCAAGACCTGCCACTAGATGGTCCTGTCTTAACAAGTTACTTGTGAAAGAACATTTTTTTAACCCCCAAACTTTACTCCCAATGGAGGGGCAGCCACCACTATTTTGTTAATAATTAGAAAATAACCTATGGAGGGGCATATAAACACACCACCTTACCCCTCTCAAAAAGCTATACATAGGGACCAATAGTTCATAATAAATATACGCAAAAAAAAAAAGATTAATACATCTGAAGATTCTCAATGAGGAAGAAAAATAATCTACTATGAAGAAAGGGTGTCTTAGTCCCTCCATTTTGATCATAAGGTTGTTAATATAGCTTGATTGCCTTCTCTAAAATTGTATATGAAAGAAACCTGCATATCCATCATAATGTTTTGAATCCTTTTTTCATCCATTACCAAACATCAAGTTGTGAAAGAGTATTGGTTGTGATATTTAATTAGCCATATGATAATTGATAAGCACATATGTAAGATCATTTCTTTGACCTAATCACACTATTTTCTTTTCCATTGCACAAATGAATAATAGAAACAATAATTCAATTGATTCCTTGATTTCTTTTATCTATTTGATCAAACTAAAATAAAGAAAAATCAAGATATTTACCTTAATAGGAATACCCATATTTAATAATACTTATACTAATTAATTATATTGGTTGAATGCTAAGAAAATCAGTGACCTTTGAAATATATATATATATATATATATATAGTCCCTTTAATGGGCTGAGCCCACTCGTGAAAATTTGAATTAGTCTTTATCCTGTGAATGCCATATAAATACGGTTAATGCATGCAATAGGACAATGCTGGCTTGCAAGTTGGAAAATCATGGGGGGTTTCTTATCCTATATAACTTACTTGTGATGAAATCCTGTCTTCAACCTGCAATGACTGGTCATAGACCTGTGCGCTTCCCTACCCACAAGAAAGAAAAAGGTTGCAATATGATCATGATATTGTATGTATTTTGATCAAATTGCACTCATTCGTACGAATTAACTTCATAACATATGCTTTCCAAAAAGGAATAGTACTCTCTATAGCAAATGATCAGCACAGAAGTTGTTGAAGATAGGTTAATTGTCATGGTCCTCTCTCTCTCTCTCTCTCTCTCTCTCTCTCAAATGGGAAACGTTTTTGTTTGGTGATGGCCAGAGAAGTAGGCCCTCAGTTGTTGGCCTTTGAAACTAGCCTGGTATGAGTTTCTCTATCATCTTTGGACCATCCAGCAAAGTAGACTTAAAACGACATATAACCTATATGCAAGGGGGGATGAACCTTCTGTGTCCCTTAGTACTATATATTATACTGTGATGTGATAGCCCTTGTACCCT